GTGGGCACGCGCGGGCACAGTTTGTGCAGCCAAGAGCTGCACGTGGCCAAGGCCTTTCTTGGCCCAACTGCGGTGACGCCTTTTCTTTGAATCCCCATCTTCTCCAGTTCGAACCCTCGGGCCCCCACCATTCCAGCACCTAACCTCAGCTCCGACCCAGGTCACCACGCACCCCAACTCAACCCTGTGTCTTTCCCAGGGGCTCCTCTTTGGACTGGGTCGAGAGGCAGTCGTGTGAACAGGTGTAAAATCAGGAAAGGTGTGTGTCGGGTGGTGTCCTCTCACCAGACCCCCTCAATCTACATGCCAAGCAGATCACCAGAGAAACGGAGTTCTGTGAAGAGGAGGGCAGCATCGGGATTGGAGGAAGGCTTATTAACAACCCCAGTATGCAGATGACACCACCCTGCTTGCGGACAGAGAAAAGGACTTGGAGCCCTTGCTGATGGAGATCAAGGATTGCAGCCTTCAATGTGGATGACAACTCAACGTCGAGAAAACAAAAATCCTCAGCTGGACCAATAGGTACCATCATGATGGAAGGAGAGAAGGTTGACCTTGTCGAGGATTCAGTCTTGCTTGGGTCCACCATCAATGCTCGTGGAAGCAGCGGCCAAGAGATCAAGAAATGGGTTGCGTTAGGTAACTGTGGCACAAGAGCTCTTTCGAAGGAGCAAAGAACAATCAATGCATTTGGGTTGTGCTGGCCAAGAATACTGAAAATACCACGGACTGGGGAGGGCGGCGGGCAGTGTTTCATTCTGTTGTGCGTGGGGTCACTGTGGGTGCTTAACAACGTCAACAGTCTCTTCGGCTCGTACGTCCAAAGTGCCTGCGAGGAAGTCCTGCCATCCTGGCTTCTAAGGAGCATGGCTGTGCTTCCCCCAAGACCCAGGTGTTTGTTCTCTGGGGTTCATAGTACCACCCCAGTTCCACTGTCCCAGGTCTCCTCCACTCTCCCTCACTCCTGTGGGGTGAAGGGGAGGGCGGTCCCCCACAAATCATCACAGGTCCTGTAGGCGCAATTG